CAACTATTTTTTATCAAAGCTTCCTTAATTTTTTTTTTGCATTTTGATTTTGATGTAGGAGAGAGAAGACTGGGTACTGTAAAGAACTTTTTTGAACTGGACTGACTATCACTTTGCGCTCTAAAATTTCTTGAAGGCGCTGTCATATGAGTTTGATCTTTCCTTGTACTACGAAATAGTAATTAAGAGGGATCTTGCTGGTTATGCCTGAATAATGAGGGGTGTAAATAAGACAAACTTGCACGGAATTATCTTAAAACGCTCTACATAAGCTAATTTGCTCACCTTAACTTGCCACTTGAGAGTACCATATTTTTTCGCTTCTTTAAAGGATCTCATTATACTTTTATAAATTAGTTAGCAAAATATAACAACTTATAGAATAAGTTTACGAGTGGAGTTGATCAGTCTGCTGTAAGGTAACATACATTCAAGCATTCGCAAAAATATCTCTTTATTGGCATCCAAACCTATTGAAGAAACATAAATGGTTAAATGAAATGTCCATAACTTCTCATCCTGATCGCCGTGTTCAAAAGCAGTGTTCAGTGGTATCTTGAATGTTGACATAAACAGCCTTGATCTGACTGTACAGTCGAAGAGTGTCCAAGCAGTTTTCACGACCATGTCCAGAGCTTTTGTAGCCACCGAAAGGCACATTTACCTAAAATTAGTGGACATTATAAGCTACAAAAAACTGAATGTTATAGAAAAAGACTCACTTCGGTGTCATTGTATGTATTGATGAAGACAGTCCCGGCTTGAAGGCGAGCAGCGACTCTGTGGCATCGAGCCAAGTTGCTAAATCATAATCGAAAGGTCGATTTTTGGTAAAATGCGAGCTTCGAGTTTTTTGATTACCCTGAGAATACCCCGGCTGCTAGACCAGTCTCAGTGTTGTTTGCTCTCCGTAAGACCTCCTCTTCTGTATCAAACGGTAATAGTAAGCAGCATGCTCCGAAAATCTCTTCGCGCACTGCTCGAGCATCATCCTGATAAGAGATTTTGTGATATGCGAGAAGTACCGTAACACACAAACACCTGTATATTTACCGTTTTAACCACAAATTATGGAAGTTGGCACCTGATTTTCCCACAGTTTTCCATCAAATTCAACTAATACTTAAATACTTTATAAAAGAATGAAAATTTGTGTAACTTCAACAACATCAGAACCTTCAAGGACGTTGTTTCAAACTCAGCTTCATGTCGTTAACAGTTTACTCTTCCATGAACATTTGCTTAGACATTTAATCAGAATTCAACAACTTACTTTCAATCCTACTATTACAGCTGGTTCGAGGTAGAAACCGTTTTCGACGCCAGCGGGATGAACCCTTTTTCCACCTCGCAGAACTTTGCCTCCCTAAAAAATCTACTTTGAGATGTTATGGGAAGTCGGAAGGCGTACTGCAATTTAAGTAAAACCGAAATCATATATACAAGTGTTATAAATCAGCTAAAGGCCTAGCTACTTGAATTTAAGATTAGCTACATCGTATCATAAATTATTTAAGCTCAACAGAGCATTACCTCGGATTCTCGTTGATAGTAAAC